ACTTCGACAGCAGCAGGATGCGCAAAGGTGGCACCATTCGTCAAGACGGCTGAATAACAGGCAATCTGCGATTCGGTCGTGTTGGAGAAGATACGCAAGATTGCTTGGCCCTCAAAGTCGGGGATGGAATAGGCAATCGGCGGGATCCCAGCGACGTCCGATGGGGCGACTGGGATTGCGCCGCTAGCCTGGGTTGGAACACTCGCATTAAGGGGGCACAAGCTATCCCTATTAGCAAGGATTCCATTACAATAACATGTCTAAAGAAGCGCTCCTTACCTGAAGATGTTGGCATTGCACGGGTTGACTGTCAACTCGAATCTGGTCTCCCCGTACGCATAGACGCCGATATAAACTGACACGGTCAGCAGGAGAGCTCCATCATGCCCACGATGGCAATCTTACTCATGACACTGTCATTGTAGACGGACGTTTCGCCCTGCAGATTCCACGTCACCGTCATGTTGTCGCTGTAATATGCGCCATCAAACTGCGTCACATTGATCAAAGAATTGCCCTGGCAATCACCAAAATCCTGCGTGTACAGAGTCGGCCTCCTGTTGGGGTCCAGACAGACTTGCTGACCTGTGCTGTCCGTCCCCTGGATGCATTGCGAGCCGCCAGCGGACTGGGCCGCGGCCGACAGGCAGGACAGTAGCACCAGCAGGCCGGTCCATAATGAACGAAAGGAAATCTGTAATGTCGTCATGATGCTGACGACGGAAGGATTGAGAAGCAATGCTTCTCTGCTGTGGAAAAGCACTTGTATAATGTATAGCAGTCTGTATCAAAAGGTGGACCTCAGTGGTTCGACTGTATTTTCCGGCGGTGAAAGGCCCTCCTGGTTATCAGGATGACGCTTTGAAAGAATGACTCGACGCTGGCATGGCAGTTTCCAGTTCTCTTGCTCAGCACAGTCCTTGAACGATGTTCTTCACCCAGTAAATGCAGAAGGTGGTACAACAAAGCCACCTGCAGGTCGATCAGAGCACCAGGGTGCCACGCGAGAACCAGGATCAGGCCTAGATAGATAAGATAAGCGAATCGCAGGTACAGCAGACGGGATATTGGCGAGGAAGAGGCGGACAGAGACGAGGACAAAAGACGGGAACGCTGCAGCGGGCGAGAGCAACGTTTTAGAAGAGTCTCCGCACAGAGACAAAGGAGCAGACTAGGAGGCGTGAACAACGAGCAGGGCGATAAAGAGATCCAGCAGGCCAGTCGGAGGGCATCTGCTGGCGCCAGTCAGCAGTGTCGGCTAAGCAGGCACGGCGGTTGGGCAGTGGCCCTTTTTATGATCGAGCCATCGCCCAATGGCGACCCCACCAGGGAGGTGAACGAAGAGTTCACAGCGCCGGCGGTATACAGAGGACCCAGGACGCGTTGCAAATCCCCCCACAGCGAGCTGGATAGTGCTGGCGCTGTCTCGGCGCGAGAGCCCGTCTGGAGGGGCTGGGTGGCTGGAGAGCAGCCCAGCTGCCAGCGATCATCCCCAGCATGTCCGTCACCAGGCCGCAGTAGTTTATTCCGGAGAATCAAACCGATCGAGTTTCTGTAAAATCAAGATGCGCCAATGGCTGTCGTGCTCTGGCAGAGCCATGGATGGCAGGCGGCTGCACCCGCGACAGCACGGTCCACCCGTCCACCGCCATTCTGAATGCCTTGCATTGGCCTTCTCGAAGAGTCGACAAGACTCGATCCGACTCTCCTGCCATGAGAACGACCTGGGAGCATGCTGCTCGTCGGATGCTGGCGGATCGACCAGACGCCGGTGTCGATAGTGGGCGCGAGCTAGTTTAAGCGCGAGACCGGCCAACCTTGCTGGGACGCCCGGATGCCGGCACGGAGATAATTCTCCTGAACAATAAGACTCCCTGACAAAAATCAAATCGTATTCTATACTGGATCGAAAACGTTTCTATTTCCTTCAGAAATATTTAAAAAAAATTCAGCCATCTTTACTATCGTGATAAATGTTATAATTAAAAGAATATCCTACACTTTAGGAATACTGTTATTGTTATTACTGCATAGGTATGCTACGTGTATTAAATATTGTTCTTGCCTTTCCTGTTGATTTACTTGATACGTTTAAAGGGCTAGTAGGGCTATCCTCAGAACTCTTTTTCTTTCTTTTTTTTTTTAAAAAAAAGAAGAAGAAGAAGAAGAAAAGAAAGAAAGAAGAAAGTACCGTTTTAAGACAGTTTTAACCCTTCGATGTTGGACAATCTAAGGCAATGGGAAAAAAAAACTAAAGACAGCAAACTCAGAGAGAAAAAGCATCATCTTTACTTCGATGGCTGCGCTCTCAACGCATTCTGTCTCTCCTCCGCAATTTCGGTGGCCCTCTCCAGCTGCAACTCCTCAATGGCCCCTTGGAGCTCAGCAACCAGAGTTGCGATGGGCAATTCGAACGTCGTCCTGTCACCGACGAGCTCGGGCATCAGGTCTCGGAGCACCAAGACCGGCCTCTGGTGAAACGTCTGGCTGTAAATCTCGCGGTGGGAGATCTCAGCTTCCCAGATATGGGTGGCCTGTCGCTGCTCCGGGTATCCCTGCAGACAGAACCAGAGCTGGACGCGCACTCTGCCCACAAGAGGCGACCCATTCTCCTCAGCCCACCCGATGATGTGCTCAGCCAGCTGTGCCTCGGAGAAGCTCAGGATCTGGGTGGTCGTCAACCCCCAATTGTTGGTCGATGCCGCCGCCGTTGGCGCAGTCGTCGACTTCTGCTCTTTCACATCCAGCAAGATGACAAGCTTCGTAACCCGAGGGAGCCGTGAAGCCATCTTTGTGCGTCATCGAAGAGCTTGGACAATGGTTCAGCCGTTCCTACCTCAACAGCAATCAGAGGGAAACGTGACTTCGTCTTACGGAGGCCGTCATCCGGCTCTTTGGCAGAACCCCGGTAGGGACTAGAGAGGGTGAATCCTAGAAAAGAGAAAGAAGAAAAAATGTCAGTTTTATATTCACCTGTTATTTGTCGGCTACTAACGCTTATCTCTGACCAACTTGTACGTTGATCCAGTTGTCTGGTCCATCTCCTTGCTGACTTCTCGAAGCCATGCGGTGAAGACGTCGCAGGCTTGCGAATGCAGGACCCCAGAGAGTGTGTTGACTATGATCCGGCTTTTTTTCGAATCATACTCAACTCCTCGAATATCCTCTCGTCCCCGAAGCCAGTTCTGGTAACCAAGGGGCGTCACATGGAATTTCTGGACGGGGAAAGCTTCGGGAATTATTGCACGTAGTTTCCAGACAACCTCGTCGGTGAGGTCATCCAGGGATTCAACGTTCTTGAGGACTTCTTCCACCGCTGGCTCGAGGTTGGACTCAATATTGACAGTGTCTGGGGAGCAGAAAAAGCGCACACCTGGCTTCCAACGGGATCGCTGGCCAGCTTTATAGCCGGAGAAGGGGGCGGGCCCGGACTCGAGTATGGATGTCAATGGAGGACGAGTCTGCCGTTCGGGAAGACCGGTGAGCGAAAAAGAAGGGGCCTTGTATCTGGCACGACGCAGGTCAAGGGTGTGTGGATTGGAAATGGTGGACTCGAATCGTGGACAACGTCCACCAACGGAGGTGGGAGGACAGGGGAGGAGTTCATTTTCGGGTCGACGACACCTGATACCGCCATGATCCCGGTCCACATCAGCAGATTCAAAAGGTGGATAGAGCTTAAGGTTCCACGGCGGCAATTCTCTAGGTTTAATATCCCTGACAAGAAGAAAGAGATGCCCATGTTTCGCTCTCTTCTGGCGATATTCTTTGTGTTCCTGTTTAAAACACACAAAGTGAGTCTCTTTGACCGACATTGCTTGTTGTCCTTTCCCCAGAGGTGTGCATCGCAATTCCATGGATCGACACAGGCCCAGCAGGACCCGGTTGTATCTAGCCATAGTACGTGACTTGTTCTCTTTCTTCCTCCTCCTTGTCCTTTGGCTGTCATCGAACTAATCGCGTAGGTAAACTCTATTGCTGGACAAAGCAACCGTATGAAGGAACCTTGACGCGTCAGTGAAGGAGGGAAGATGCATAAACCCTACAGATAGGCCAGCCTAGATGCTGTCTGAGAAACAAAGACAGCTCTCCTGTGACAGACCAACATTTAATTTATGCAGCCATCGGCTGACACGAGTTTATGTCCCGATCATTGCTATCCTCTGGGGCATTTTAAAGAGCGTATCGTATTATAGGGCTATAAGCCCACTTCCACGACATTTGAGATGATGACAGGACACTATCTCCGTCAAATTTCTCCTAGTGTATTCGGGTCGCTCTGTTCGAATTGCAGAAGGATAAAAAAAGAAGGATAAAAAAAAGAAGGATAAAAGATGCAGTTTATAGTTTTCATGCCAGAAACAAAATAGGTAGGACGTACAGTACATACACATGACGCAAACAAACAATTGCTGGAGTAATAATAGCAGGCTCACTTCATCTCCTGGCAATCAATCAGTACGGAGTAATATAAATACTCAAATAACAAACCTAGTACCGCAGTATGTACTACAGTACGACAGAGACTGATTTCAATCGAGTCTTACTTCTGCATGAATTGTACTCATATTAGAGTTTGTGAAGCTGATTCAGATCTTATCGAAGTTAGTTACTTACGACAGTTAGTTAGATGATACCTGAACCACGAGAATATGCCAAAGCAACTTTTTCTTGCTGGAATAAATAGAATTGTTTCTACTAATATTACTTGACAACTTGCAAGTTCAATGCAATCAATCTATTATCACTTCCATCCTAAAGAAGTTACTGCCAGACCTTATCCTTTTCTTTCTTTTTACAAGTCTGATACACCTACCTAGACAGATAGAGCGATTGATGCCTTTTCAGATCCTACCTACCTAAACGACAGCTTCTAAGCCACTGACTCACAGGCTTGGAACTAAAATAACCTTAATCGTAAGCGACGAGCCATTGATGATAGGTATATAATAGATGGGTGCGAAGGATCAACTCAACTTAATCTATATTTCATTATCTCCAGAACTGGCTTGGGCTTGTGACCTCGAGTGGGGGCGACTGGTAAGTCTGTTGGTGTTGGATATGTAGCACTACTATATCAAATCAAGTCTTTATTATTTATGGCGACTTCCAGCTGTACACAAGACTTGTATCCGCAATAAGAACTTCTCCTGGATGTCGAGGGATAGATTGATTCATCCTCAGTGAGCAATGTCAATGGCCTACCCCTCGCCCACATTCTCCATCTCCACCCAATGCCTTCACATCTCCCACTTCCTGCCCGACTCGCCCAAGCACTGCGCCTTTCTCGCCCGTCTGTACAACACGGACGACTTCATTCAGTCCTGCGGCCGGACAGGCATCGACACGCCCGACAAGGCCGCCCGGTTCCTGCAGACCCGCGTCGCCGCCGATTTCGCCCCAACGGGTACGGCATCTACCTGGTGTCTCGCAAGCCGTACGACTACGCGGACGCGCCCCTCGCCGCTTGCACGCCCGTCGGCACCGTCTCGCTGATGAAGGGCGAGGGCGAGCCGCCGAACGCGTAGGACATTGGCTTCGCGACGCTCCCCGAGGAGAGCGGCAAGGGGTACGCTTCCGAAGCCGCTGCCGCCCTGATGCAGTACGCGCGGCGCGAGCTGGGCGTCGAGGCCGTGCTGGGGTTCTGCGACCCCGAGAACGCGCGCAGTCGTCGCGTGCTGGAGAAGATTGGTCTCGAGTTTCGTGGTGTGAGGGGGCTGAGGGTGTTTGGTGGCAGGTCTTCGGCTGTTTATGCCCTGCCGGAGATGAGTCTGGATTTGAAGACGTATGGCGTGGATGATTAGTCTGCCGGCAGAAGCAAGGCTGAAGGATTTTCTAGGTTGATTTTGTTGTGTTTTGATATTATCTGGACGGCTCAGTTGCAGAAAAGTGTGTCGATACAGGGCTCTGCCATATAGTGATCCCTTCAGTGCGTCTGTTCCCACGGCGTCTGTTCGCTCTTGTGTTGTTCTCAGCGCTGTTCGTTCAACAGAACTCCAGAAATGGATGACCCTGAGTTGTTTCCAGGAAGAGAAAAGACAGCAGTGGAGGACTTGAAGTTCAGTCACAGTCACCAGTCATCCCTTGATCGATATAGATTGCATCGCATTGCAGGGTAGCGTAGTCATCCAATAGCATGAGTCTCAGCTACAGACAAGGACACAAACGTCAACTGTCTATTATTGATGATTGCACCGTCCGCAAACAGCCCTCCAGATACCGCACAACCCGTCCCAGATCGTCCAGTCGCGCAGTAACCCCCACATACCCATCCGGCCGCACCACCGCCAGAGCGCCGCGGTCCGGTTCAACGCCGTAAATCCCGTACACGTCGTCCATCTCGTAGCCGCTGTAGAAGCGCATCTCCGAGTGCTGCTTGACCGCCGCGGGGAGGTCCTTCCATTCAAAGCTCCGCGACACACGCGGGTGGACGACCACTTGCTCGAGCAGCGACGGAGGGAACCGCGGTAGAAGCGAGATGCCGATGGCTGTCAGGGTCTGCGCGGATGTTCCCCGGGGGTCGAGCAGATCGGTTGAGGTGAGGCAGAGGATTCGGAAGCGGCCTGTTGAGGGGAAGTCTAAAAAAAAATCAACCCGTTAGATTGCTACTTTGCTTCTTGGATGAAATGTACGTATAGGCGTAATACCATCCTGTAAATCCCGCGGACAGCCATCCGCATGACGCTTCACTTTCACGTTCAACAGTCTCCTCCCGGGCCGGAGCGTGCCAGACAAAAAGTCCGTTCCCACGATCGGATTCTGCTCGTCGCGGTCGAATGTCCGCAGCACAGTCCTGTTTTCGGGATACTCGATGCCGCATCCGCTCGTGAAGCCGTTGCCCGTGCTGAAGACCTCGAGGAACTGCTCGTGAGAGAGCCCCTCGGTGCCGTCCTCCGCCGCGACGCCGATCTTCCCCGAGAACATGGACGAGAAGGCCTTGTCGAAACTGATCAGTTCCTTGGCGATCGTGTGGCGCTCCGTGTGGTACGTGTCCACGACCGCGTCGGGTTTGCCTGGCTCGGCTGAGTCGACTGTCAGGCCGTTGATGGAGTAGGCCAGTTTCCACGCCAGGTTGTACGAATCCATCATGGAGACGTTCATCCCTTGGCCGGCCTGGAATCATTAACCATTGACTTTTTATTTTATATATTCTGGATTGTACACACCTTTGGACTATGCGTGTGGCAGGCTGTAAACCCATCAGTAAGTTAAGTCATTCGATATCGACGACTGGACTCACCGTCTCCCACGATAAAAACTCGATCCACCCCCTTGGAATCTTTCACGGTGAATCGACTGGACACGCGCTGTCCAATCTGGTATGCAGCCCACCAGTCCACCGCCCCGTCCGCCTTGGGTCGGATGTAGTACGGCTTGAAGGCCTCTGCTGCGTGTTGAAAGATTCCTTCCAGCGTGACCTGTTTCCTCCTGGCCCGCGCGTCGTCGCTCGAGGCATCACTGTCCGGGTTCACGACCCCCAGCACCTGGACATACAGACGGGTCAAGTAGTCGCCCGTCGCGATGCGCTCGCGCGGAATCACCATGACCGACGTCGCGGGCGAGTGGATGGCGCACCGTCGGCGGATATCCGGGAAGTCGGTGTCGACGACCAAGTCGACAACGCCCCAGATGTGGTCGGTCGTCTCGCCCTCGAGGGTGAGCCCCATGCATCGCCTGACGACCGAATGGGCTCCGTCGGCGCCGACCAGATGCTTCGAGCGGATCGTCCTGGGCCTCCCGTCCACCTCGATGTCGGCCAGCACGGGGAACTCGGGATCGGAGTCCTCGTCCAGCCTCACGCTGACCAGCCGGCTGTTCCTCAGGACGCCGCGCTTCGAGTACCGCCGCAGGTCGGTCTCTAGGATCCGCTCGATGCGGCCCTGGTGGATGGTGACCTCGTGCGGATACCGCGCTGGCACGGCCACGTCCGGAACGATGGAGGTCCTCTCGATGATCTTGCTCTTGTCGGCGGAGGGGTTCCAGAAGGCCACTTCCCACATCTGGCAGCCCTCGGTGAGGATCTCGTCGACGAGGCCCAGCGACTTGAGGACTTCGAGCGTGCGCGGCTGGAGGCCATCGGCCTGGCCGGACTTGAGCGTGCTGGGCTTTGCGTCGATACAGAGGAGAGACTCGTCGCTCAGGCCATAGCGCGCGAGGAGGAGCTCCAGCATCAGACCGGCGGGTCCTGCCTGCGAGAAGGCGGATCAGCTTGCGACATTCCCACGGTTCCTGAATCGAATGCAATAGGACATAACGTACTCCCACAATCACCACCTCGTACTTCTCATGGTGGCCATCCTGCGTGTGCTGGGGCGACAGGCGGGGTAGAGGAGGGGCGAAGGAGGGAAGGACGCGCAGCTCGCGCGACGAGGCGGAATACTCGGTAAACACGGGCATATCTCGTAGATATACAGAGCACAGGAGAATTTATCGTCACAAAAAATCAATGTAGATGAGAGACTCTATCTATATACACGGCCAAAAAAAAAGGGTTCTGAAGCATCGTGAAGCCATTCCCACTCGACAAAGAGCCAAGACAGGATGTCAACATATCAGATAGCTCTAATTCCGTGACGGAAAGCATTCATCTGTGCTGATTGGCCATTCTGGCCCAAAGACAAGAGCAAGAGAAGCCCCTGCAGCAGACATGAAGATATTACAGATTCTCGCCTAATGCTCAGTCAGCAAAAGACGTGGGGTTCGCGTTCCCCGCAGTCCCGCTGGGGATTTCCCGAGGACGCACGTGATAATGTGGTTGTAGATCTTCATTGCATCTGTTTATATCCGTAAATCCTGTCTGGACCTGTTCTCGATCGAGATTTGAATATTGACTAGTCTTGTTGTACAGCATATGCAATGTGATCGGCTGTGCGCATAGCATCACGTTGTCATTGGCCGGCTGCTTACGATCTCCTGTCTAATCACACCTTATTCTGTCCTGCCAGCTGATTGTTATGGATATGTCTTCTATTGTCATATTTCTAGTCATCAATCAATCCTCCTGCAGCTGAACTGCTCCACTAAGAGCGGACACACGGTTCCACATCCACTGCATCTCCAACAAGGCGAAACTAGGCAGAGGTCGCCGGTCAGGGTCGTCCGTGTGAAGCGAAATAATGTCCCCCGACTGGATGACTCGATCATTTTCACAGTCAAACAGCTTGACAGTGTTGCGATCAAAGTCAGAGGGCAGATGAGGGGGAAGCAGAATGCTCACGTCCCCAGTATCTTGAGAGTGTGGCAACCAGAAAATCTGCACATCCAGACACTTCTTGTCATCCGAGAGCCGAAGTGGTTTCAGTGCGAATAATGCCTTCCTCCAGTAGGCAAGTGCATTAGGACTGAGGCACATCATGTTGTGACAGACTTGTGGTCCTCTATCTCCATCTCCAAAGAAGGCCTCTTTCCACGCGCTGACACGTTCATCGGACCACAACCTGCGGCATAGTTGCCAAAACTTGGAAGATGGGTTCGTATCCCTGAATGGACATATGTAGGCAACCTCGATTATTAGTCCTCCGAGCTTTTCCAAGACACACGATTTCCCATCTCTTTTGCGACACTGAAACTCGTAAGCAAAACCTGTTACTAGCTCCCTGCTGAGATGTACCGACCAATTTGTGCTCCAAAGCTAGTGACTTTTCGGAAGACGATGGCGCTGGCTCTGATTTGGATCGCGGCTTCCACTGAACTGATGAAGACCGCGTGGTCCCTGTAAGATTGAAATAAGTTCGACTGCATCAGCCTATGAAGACCAACCAACTTACAACGGCGAACAATGCTCAAAAGCACCCGAGTCGGAAAAAAGATCTCGTAAGAGCATGGGTCGTTTTGGATGTGACCCACGAGGACCTTCAGTTTTTCAATGTCACTCAGCCACAGACAGGCCCAGGCAGTCGACGACAGCTCGCTGTGAAGGGCAGTATCGAGTTCTTTCAACAAGGAGAGACGTTCGGGGTCATTGAACTCGGCTCCAGGGCCGTCGCCTGATGCCATTGTCGAGTGGTCAGGCGGTGTGAGAGTTTGGGGGGGACAGAGAAGAATGAACG